TTGGTCAAAGCTGCAGTGAACAGCTACCTACTGTTGAACTCATTATGGACCAAAGATGCTGTCTTTTATACTCTACACTTTGATCTTTGTTTTCAAAGGCTGTTGCCTATTTTACCTACTATATAACTTGGATGTCTACTGTTTGTTCAGAGAGTAGATTGTAAGCTAGTATTTGTTAGTGCGACTGCGAGCTGCTCGCCTTGTGAGCAGAGGGCTACAGAGGTCTCATAAGCTCTCTTCATTCTAACTCCTCAATTTTAACATTGTACTGTTCAGTCCCAACCGAGGGAAGGGACTTCACACAGCTCCCTGTGGAACCACAAGAGCTTCATACAACTATTTTTTTCTCATGTACAGCAGTATTCCACGAAGCCCGGAAACAGACTTTGATGCATAAAGTCAGTGGGGTTCCGCTTTGATAAAAACACCAAAAACTCATCAAATACTTTTCTATTGATTAACAAGTCAATTAATTATTTGCTTTAACTCTAACTACTTTTTGTTTCAATGCAGTCTAGTACATCTATTTTCTCATCTCTCTTTCTTCTTAAATTACAGGTTTTATTTAAGTTACACAAGCCAGTGAATAAATTATGTTTTTGAGTAAAGTCAAGTTGTTTAATGCCGAAGAGAAAGAACATGTTTTGCATCACATTTCTTTAAGTTTGCTTTTCCTAAAACCTTGATTTTTGCACCATTTTATGCTATTTAATACACAATATGAGTCTTGTAGGTTAAAGAACACAACAATCCCTCAAGACCAAATTTGCTCTTGCTTTGTGAGGACAAATACAAATACTCAAAATGTTGGGACAAAAAAGTTGTTGGGGTGAAAAAAAAAGAGCCAGCCTGTCACTTTCCATTGTCCAGGGAGTTTATCTTGTGTTGAGATAATGAAATCAGTCTCCCCCATCCCCCTCCACAAATGAACTGACCCCCTGTGACCTGGGCAGGATTTCTCCACAAGACCCCAGAGCTACCACCACCATTGTTCCTTTGTAAGCCGATAGACAATGATGATGTTACTGCTTAAATGCTTTTGGGAAACTGGGTTTCCGATGAGTCAGTTAAGGAGTGTGTGAAGAGTTCGGCCAGAACGTGATGGGAAGATCTTTGTATACTCTGCTGGTGATGACACATCATGCATCACATGAAGCTCACTGTATACAAGAGTGAATCTGTTTAAGTTTTCCTCCCTTTTTGGAGATACTGGAGCTGGCTAGGGTAGAATTACAGGACAAAGTAACAGGCGTAGGAAGAGGATCATAAGACTTTGGCGTAGAAATATGATTTCCCTGAAACAACTTATTTCTGCTGCAGTTGTGCATACCTGCTTAGGATGAAGGTGACTGTGTGCAGTGATCAATGAGGTCAATCGTCTGTAATGAGCATGTCAGTTATTTTACTGTAAAGCTCTTAAAATGGCTTGTTAAATGTACATCAGCCTTTGTTAAGTTTTCCACTGAACATGTGTTTTTGGAGGCCGTGTGTGCTTTTGACGGCGGCGCTACAATCAAGCGTGACCTCAGTTTCTGTGCTGGGATTCGAGTGCCCACTCATCGCTGCTCTAGTGTAAAGAGGGGGAGGCAGGAGAGGGTGAAATGTGCTACACCCCCTACTCCCAAATCCACCACCACCACCAACCCGGATATGATGTGAGCCTCCTTAACCTCACACACTTGAGGGAAAATGAACAGGACGCCTTGAGGGGAAAGGAACAACAGGCCTTAAAACAAGCGGGAATTGTCCTGCGTCGTCCCTCATGCCAAAAGCAAAAGAGATGGGATTCAGTGAAGGGCTCTACAGATGAATGTAAGCAGCCATCTCTCTCGTGCTCTCCCACTTTTCCCTCTATCTGAAGTGCAGGCTGACTGTGAAAGATCGTGGTGGCATCGCTCAACACGTAGCTGCCTTTTGCAGCCCCCTTAAATGGCCATTAAAGTCTCATCAATTCATTCCTGCACATGAGTAAGTTTCAGTCCACCACACACCCCTCCTCTGTGAGCTCCAGGCCTCTGTCCTGTGCAAAGCAGACACCAGTACAGCGGAGCCACGGCTGCTCAAATCACTTTCATTACCTTCATTTGAAACAATTTGAGTAAATGACCAACACCTGACACCTGACATTTGCTGCTACCACTTTTGACTTGTGTGTGAATTTTCGATCAAAATCATATAAAGACTAATCTCAATAGTACCAAGTGCTTAATTATAGATCAGACAAAACGATCACATTTTAAACATCACCTTACATACATTTTGAAAATTTCCAACTTATGTTTTTCACATTTAGATTTATTACTGTGGGTTCAGGGAAAGTTGTATGTGCAAATAGTCAATTCTAAAATACTTCAATTATTAATTTACAATTAAGAAAACATAGCAATATATTTAATCATTGCTTGCAACTCTGTACTAACATTTCAAATAAATAAAATTAGGTAAGTTACTTACTTAAATACATATTGTGCTCTGTGAAATATTTGTAATCTCACTTAAACTGCAGTTAATAAGTAATGGGTTTAAGAATTGTGTGCATTTCTTAGTAAACGAGAGTAACAACAAAACTGATAATTGTAATCTAATATTCATTGACACTGAGAACAGTGTGGGGGAAATATTATTGTCCTGCTATCTATCTATCTATCTATCTATCTATCTATCTATCTATCTATCTATCTATCTATCTATCTATCTATCTATCTATACACTTTTCACCAACAGCCAAATGTTAATTAATGTGCTACAGAAAATGTAAGAAGTCAAGGAAACACAATGAAGAACACAAAATGTATACAAAGATTATAAATGCAAAAGAGTTGCTCACTGCTGCTCCTGACTACAGTGTGTTCCGCTGCAGCAGGTCAGAGGTTTACACAGTGCTTAAGGAAAAGAGCAGCAGCTACCCCTTATCCACAGCCACTAAATTCCAGTGCAAACATTTTTCAGCGAGGCCTCAGAAGCCCCCCCACACACCCCAGCTACTGCATCCCCACGCAGGCCACATTTTCTTATGGCTGCCATCATGAAGTGACAGGCTGCTGAATGGCTTCATTGGTACAGTGGAGTGTCTGAGCTCAGTGAAATGAGGGTCGGAGCGGGATGGGCTGGGGGTGAAGGCATTCTCTCTCTCTTTCTCTTTTCTCTCAACTTTTGAGTTTACTCAGCAGGAGTGAGTGGTTATGGCAGAGGCGGAGGAGGGTGGTGTTGGTAGTGGTGAGGTGCTCCTCCCCCCTCCTCGGAGTCACTCAGACTTCATCCTCTCCACCAACCCTCCTCTCTGTCCCTGTACGCTAGACTTCATCGGTATTTGCTTTCACAAAAAAAAAAGTCGTACCCCCTCCTCCTTTTCCTTGGCCTATACCCCTGTGACACACACACACACACACACACCACATACACACACACACACACCACACACACACAACCGAGACACTCCTTTTGGTTCATTAAATTTTCTGCGGACTTCCAGAAAAAAAGGCCCCAAAAAAGAAACCCAGATCAATAAAGTGGGGCCTGTGCACAGAGGCAATGTGTGAAAACGGGGGCTACAGCAGCATACATACAACAGCACACAGGGGCTGGGGCTGTGGAGATGAAAGTGACATGACCACTATAGGGTCTCTGAACGCTGCAGAGCGGAGCCCCCGAACTGAAGCTGAATGAGCTGAATAGGCTCATCCATTCTTCACTCCTTTCACTCTCCGTAGGCCCTAACTGTTGGAACTCTTCATTCTTCACAATGGGCAAATGCACTAAAACTTTTTCTTTTTTTTCTCATGCAAATCACCTCAGCCCTCACTGGCGTTGTCATCATGTGAAGCGGAAAACACATATGCACATACTAGATTTGGAAAAGAGGCTCACAAATATTGTTATTTGAAGCTTTTACACGTTCAGTCTTCTTTAAAAAATTTTTTGAATTATTCCTTAAATCTTCCTTTTGGATGCATCTCATTTTGGTTTTGAAGCACAACAAATTTCCTACTTTTCTAGATCTGTGTCTCATTAACATGCAAAAAAAACCCATCCAAGCCCCTGTTTGATTTTCAAATGTGACTTATATGGAAAAGAAGCTTTACAAAAAACAAACACGCAGTTACTTCTTTACTGATATGTAGGCCAAAACAACCACCAAAAAAAGTGGGACTCATAATTCCACACATGAGTTTGGAGATCATTAGCAGCGCCTGTTAGATAGGAGTAAAAGCCAACAGCAAATATAGCTGCTAAAGGGCCCCACAAAGGCGTGAAGTGTTTGTTGACTGCTCAGTCTGGAGAGCAAACAGTAAACTTTGAATCTTTCAACAATAAGTACACATCTTCTACAGCCCTGTAACAGGCATTAATGTGTCCATGCTGCTACTGCATTCCTGACACTTTGTGCCTGATGTTTGTTTCTTTTCTTTGTAGCACTAAAAGATTAAAAAAAGTAAAAGCTCAAAAGTGAGAAAAGTGTGTAGGGGTGACTGCTGAGGTGCAATGTGTGTTATTGTAATGGATTTTTTTTTGAGTTTTAAAACAGCAATTAAAAGTGTTTTCTTGGTGTTGGTAAATGCATTTAATGTTAAATTTGCAGGCTTGTTTTTAGTTTTAACCATTAAAAAAACACCTAATTTTACAGTTTGGAGACTTCATAAGAAACCCTGATAATTTGTGCCTAACTATTAAAAGGAATGTAGAAGGATTGGCGCCGAGTATTCTGATCACATCTCTTTCCATATAGATCAAGTTGCAGGACAAAAATTTTTTGGATTCCTGTGTCAGATAAGTTCAAAGTGCAAATGAGATGTGAAGCTGCCCTAAGCCTCATCTGCCGTTGACACGCAAGGCAGCAGAAAAGAGGAGAGGAGGAGGAACTCGCCAGTAAAACACTTTTTTTTAACAACCTTGCCGTGCGAATATTAACAGACAAAATACGAACAAACACAACATCAAGGCAAAATTAACGCGACTTTTCCCGAAGCTGCTGCTGTCAGCATCGGCACAAAGTTCCCTACCTTCACTGCGTCTCTTTTCTCTTCGAAGCCGAGCCTCTTCCACTCCGTCTTTTTGTCCGAGGAAAACTTTGCCAGGAGTCTGATTCCCGTAAACTAGAACTGAGCTGGCACCAATACTGAACGCACGACGCGCAAACAAGCCTCGCCGGACTTTACGCGAAACTCCATGAACTGAGTTAACAAAAGTTTAGAAACACGCAAAGTTTGAACGGCATTACAGCCCGTATGTCCCGTAGAGCGATTCAGTGCGAAGCAGAAGTCACGTCTAACTTTTTCTTACAATCCATCTTCTCCGAGAGGTGCGCTCTGGTGTGCGTGCTTTGCGCGCTTTCAGCAAACTAACATGATGCGTAATGGTCTTGTTTTCTCTAGTGCGCGTAAAAGTTTGGAACTGAGAGCGGTTTGGCCTCTCTCGGCAGTTGTTGCAGAGACAAGCGGTGGTGTTGAGATCTTCAGGCTGCTGATCTGTTTTCAATCCGACCCCCCTTCTCTCTCTTTCCCCCTTTACCATCTCCTCCTCTCTCACTCCCCTTGCTCCCTGGTGAGTTGAGCCATTTGCTTCACCAGATGGGCCGGGCTAACTCAATCCAGAAGTTGTAGACGGGAGAAAAGTTAGGTAAAGTTTCATTTATTGTTCGATTTTTCACGGGCTTTACGGTTAAGTATCTCTACTGGAGCCAGTTTTGCTCGGGAATTCCAAGTCCACGAGTCATTGCTCTTGAAAAACACAAATTCGCATCAGTTACAGTTGTAGCAAAGAAGTCAGTGCTTTGTTGACATTATTTCATCAGCTTTCTTGCAGATGGGAAAAGAGCACTTCGAGTTCCAGTGGCTTTTTTTTCTGTTGAGGAGCCGTGATTCTTTGAGTGGGTGGAAGAATAATCAAAGAACTCTGTTATCTTGAACAAACTAAACGCACATTCAACAACAAACACATCCACACCCTGTAGTTAAAGCCAAAGCTTGTTGATTTAAAAAATAGACAACAATCTTCATAATTCATGCTTTGTTTATTCCCGTTCAGGCTTTTTCATCTGGAACCTTTTATTCAGCGGTGCAGCGGGGGGCAGCAGTGATACTTTGCGGACAAACAGCATTTATTATGTGATGCCTGTACAGTTGATTTCACCTCAGATAACCCTGTCCATGCTAGGGAATTTAAAGGATCATTTTGCGTTTTTTGTTTAACAGAAAGTTTGAAGAAACGTGAAGATGTAGAAACACAGAGAATGAAGAATTAAACTAAACTGAATTTCCCTCTGAGTTGAATAAAGTCCAAGTAATACTAATAAAATATAAAGGTAGCCTTCAGGTAAAAGTACTGAATTCCAAATTCAACTTAAGTAAATGTATAGAAGTATATTCTAAAATACTAAAAGTTTCAAAAGTAAAAGTTCTCATGATGCAGCAGAATGACTCCTGTCAGTGGAATCTTAGGCTATATCATAGCAGACTATTATGCCGATGGAAGTGTAAGCAAAACTTTAAAGGGATAGTTCAGTCTCTTTGAAGTGGGGTTGTGTGAGGTACTTAAGTCTTGACTATACTCATTAGCGCACACCCACAGATGCATAGTTGTTACACTGCTTTTCTTTCCATGAGAGTCCACTTGGAGGACTCGTTGCATACATGCACAGAAGGTCGTATCTGTATATTCTGCGCATGCAGAGTACTGGTGAGCATGCGCACCACTGTTCTTGTAACGTTGTTGCAGGCACACATTTTGGGCTACATATGCAGAGTGGGTACGCGTAGACAGAGTTAGATGATGAAATTTACATCACGTGCACCCCAACCATACCCATGGTTGCAGAAAGTATAACACTGCCCTTAAACTACTCTGTAATCATCGTGCAGTCCAATTGGAGAACTCTATTCCATATATAAGCAGAAGGTCGTATCTAGTTATTCGGTGCAACACACTACTGCAGAGCATGCACACTGCTGCTGTTGTACTTGCCGCGTGGACTGTATTGCACTTTAGGGTGCATGCAAATGCTTGCATACTTGAGAAAGCAGAAACTCTAAAATCTTGATTATACTCAGATGTGAATGTGTATGTGGACCACTGCAGACACCACGACATGTAGATGTTACTGTACTACGTTTGTAGTTGCCACGAGTCCACTAGGAAGACTCCTTTCTTTACAGCAAGTCACATCTTTGTATTCTGTGCATGCACACTCCTGCTGAGCACTATTTCCCTTGCTATGCAGTCAATGTGCAGATTGTATGCACAGACCCAAATTTTTGGCCGCACAGCAACATCCACAGAGGGGTCCATGAGGACTCTTGCAGACTTGGGATGATGACAAAAGTGATGTCATGCAGACCCTCATGTTCTTGTGGACACACTAAGTATAACACTGGCCGAAAACTGGCCTTATTAATAGTCAGTGTATTAACCAAAACAGATTGTGGTGAACAATGTCCTCAATTTGGAGAAGCAGACAGGAGCAGCAGCATGGAGACTAAGCAGTAAACTGCTGTGGGTGAGATCAGCAGCAAAACAGATTTTAATTATCTAAATAATTCTAACTAATTCTATCTATAAGTGTATCTGTTGTTGTTGTTGTTTTTTTTTTTTTTCTTACTGCTTTCCCTTGCTGTCTGATGGCTATTTTCGATGGGGAACTGAAGATTTTGTATTGCTGTCTCCTCCCCTGACAAAAACAATAATTTTACCTGGCAAAAGGAGAGTTGCTGGTTTACTGCTGTGTAACTTTGGTGCTAAACACACTCATTTGGATCTGAACTAATGTGTTAAACACCAAAGTCATACAATATCAATATAAAATCTAGTCGACTCAGACAGCACGACAAGCAACTCCCATTTTCTGCATGGAGTCAGCTGCGTCTGAAGAGAGCATAGATCAACATAATGGCAAGGTCTGTCTGATGACAAGGTAAAACAGTGAAACTATTGTAAATGTAGCATGCACTTAAAGTGATACATTACACTAATGCTCCTGATCCCAGCAGTATGGAAATACCTCAGATCTGTTTGTTAATACAGCACCTTAGAAAATTCTACCTGTAGACCTGATCTGACTGCATATTTTGACCAATATGACTTTGAATATTATGTGATTCAACTTGTCATTCTGTCCCATACATAGGTGGGACCATGTTCCAGTCACATCATGCCATTGTGCACCTTAAGTATTCTATTTATGACAGTACATGGAGTAATTTACTAAAGGCCTTTAATGAGACTGTGGGCCTGAGCTTTAACTCTGCTGTCAATGCAATATTGTGCAATTTAGCCACCTTTGAAATGCACCATATTGTGACGTAGTCTGATGTTAGAGTTACTTATGAATAGTGATGCATACAGTGTTAATTATTAATCATTTCATGATGTGAACTTAGCTTGACAGTGACTGCATGTGGATCATACTGATGAGATATTTTTTGTTTTAGAAGTTACTGTCTGTGATGGAGAAGTTTTTGAATGTTTTGCGGATGGAAGAGTAGCCAGACGCATGGCCACAAAAAAAAACAAAAAACAACAACCTCCCATAACCTCCCATTCCTCTTACTCTCTGTGTAATGGCCACATATTTTCTACACTAACATAATGACACTATTGTAATAAACCCATCTGATGGCCTTTTTTGGTGCTTTAATCATACATATCAGCACTACATTTCAGTTTACTTAAACCAAAACCAATTGTAAAACTGCAGCTTATAAGGCCGAAAGACATCTGAGGCCCCTGAACATTTGCCACTTTACCTGACTGGTAACCCAGGTATCTAATATTACTATAAATACTCAGGTTCAAGTCCTGCAATGTACACCACAAAAATACAGATAATAGACAAATTTAAAACAAACAAACAAAAGAAACATTTATAGTATGTGTCACAAAATTTCAGTTGTCAACCTCACATTAGATTACATATAATACCACATCCACAATGAAGATCTCTGGCAGTTAGCTGGCAGTTGTTCTAGACAAAGCATGTCATTGCATGCAGCATTACTATACAGTACATATTCCTAAACCAAGACATGGACAGTAAAACAAAAAGAACCACAATACAGAGTGTATCTACAGTATAGAACACAGATCTTCAGTGGCAGCGTCGCCATGCAAAAGTATCCGTTTCATGGTTTTTTATCATTTCACTAAAGATGACTGTTTTTTAGTTCTACTGAATGAACTCTGTCTGAAATCATAATACAAAAAAAAATCTTAACCATGTCTCTATAACGTATTTTCATTCACATTTTGCGGTATCGCACAAAGATACATTTTACAGTTTTGTAAAAACTTTTTCCTTTTTTTGTTTGAGTTGGCTTTTGACTATTTCAGAAAAATAATTAATGCACTTCATAGGAGATAAAAAAAAACACCTTTTCCAGATAAGTTTCAACTTAGAAAACATTTAACTCATTCATATGCTACTAGAGACTCCTGGCAGCATGAGACCCGGCCAGTACCAGCATGGATACAACCACATGATACAAGAATTACTAATTGCCCAAGTGAAAATAATTCCTGAAGCTGTCTCTTAATTTTTCTCTCATAGATGGCAAAGACAACAGGTTTGTTTGTTTCTTCTTCTACTCTATTTATTACAGCCAGCTGTAACATAGTCTATACCGCCACCTTCTGATGAAACTACACAGTTAAGTTTATTTGCTCTAAAGCAGTAAATGGAAACAAGCCTAATTTACATCCTCTTTTTTCGTAATTTTTGTTGTGCCATTATAAAAGTTTGCTCTACATTTACAATTATATGAAAATACGGCTAACACAAAGACAATGCCAAAGAGAAAATGTGTATGAATCGTCAGCAGTGCATGAGGCTGATTTATTCATTCTTCATGGTTTTAGAAGATCTGTCAAGCCCAACACAACCAGACAAAGACCTGCGCGAAGGGCAGAGTCTTTCATTTGTGGGAGAAATGCACACAAACATGGACATCACATGTAACCTCGTCCCAGATCAGTCCATGGCACCTGTTCAGCTCTGCAGTTGAGACACGAGACAAAAAAGAGGTGTATAGTTGGAGAGCATGAATAGAGTCTGAGTCACAGAAGGATTGTCAGGCCTGGCTGGTTTCAGGGCTCGAGGTGCTGCCACCTATTGTCTCTCTCTGTGCTTGCATCATGCCTGAGTGCCCACTCTCAAAACCCGCCTGTGCACATGAGCGGCCTCTGCGACTCCATGTGCCTCTGTGCCTGTGCACGTCCTCAAAAGAGGGTGAATGCTAGTGTCAGGCTCACTGGCCCTCTCCCCTCTGCTACTACAGTCTTACAGGCAGGAATTTTAATGAGCTTGTTGGGCTTTTTTTTTCTGATTGCAATAGAATAATAACTGCACTGACACTAAAGCTTTTGGAGACCGAGTCTAAAAGGGAAATTGAAAAGCCATGAGGAGGTGAAGAGAAGCAATGCCAGTGATTTGAGGTTTGACCATGAGACTAAGGTTTGATCATATTA